TACCCTGTACATACTTTTATACTGCCTTGGCTTCCCTTTGATGGTGTGGAGCCCTCTGAGAAAAGCCCTTTCTTGTCTGAGTTTCAATTGTCAAGCTGGGAACTAATTCTCCCTATTCTCATACCTCTGTCTTGCCCAGAGAAGGTGGTCTTTACCGATGCTCCAAGGGTATTGACCCATGTGGTGGTCACTGTGGTCACTGTGAGAACATTTCTCAAGACTCGACACCAACTATTCACTCTCTGAATCTTTTCCAAGTTCCTTGACTCCAGACCAGAAAAGGTTCTTATCTCCTCTTTGTGTAGCAGAGAAATGGCTTGTATATCATCACGTTTTTCCTCTTCTATGATTAATGTTATAAACTCTATGCTGTTAGTGCTCCAGGACTTACTTATCTTTGGAGAGCTAAATACACACACACACACACACACACTCACACACAGTGACAGTAGAGGCAGTGTGTGTGTGTGTGCATGCGCACATTTAGCTCTTCAAATATATATCAAATATATATTTTTCTCTTTCCATGCTATTGTGTCTTACCCTCTCAAGAGCCAATTTTGAAATTCAAAGTGAAGAATCTGACTTGCTGAAATTCTGCTTGCTGGGTTCTTTGTCTTTTTTCCCTTTTCTAGAACAAAAGCCTTAGCCTAAGATCTTTTTTAATGGTTAAGATGTTGCAGGATAAAAACGAAATGCTAAGAAGAAAGAATACATCAGGAAATATTTTAAAATATTTTATAGCTACATACAGGATATGAACTGAAATAACTTAGGTGGTCTACCATAAAATTTTGCTCTTTGGCGAGGAACTGGGAAGAAGCTAGGCAAATTTCTCAAGACGTTAAGCTCAAATTGTCTTGAAATTTATCATAAGAGGCAGATTTTTCTCTCCCTCCCTCCTTGACTATGAAAATATTTCTTAGGACACTGCCTTCTTTTCCATGCCCTTTAGTGACCTGGGAGGGTTGGTTGGCAAAATCCCACACAGTAAGCAATACTCACTGCTATCTAATAGACTTAAACTATCTCCTTGGGGAAGAATAGAAAAGTCCTGTGGCTAAAAATGTCAAGTCTGGATCCTAAAGCTCTACAAGAGAAATGATGGGGAATGGTTTTCCCTTCGCTGGGGAATAGGCTGGATGACGAATGTCTTTTTCCCAGCTTGTAAATTTCTATGATTCAAAGAAAACAGATATCAAAAGGAATGGAGAAAGCACAATATGCAGAGAACAAAAGTGAAGACTCTTTGTTCTAATACTTTGAATTACATACACACAAACACATATGCATATACATACATATAGACATAATACACATAAATGTTTGAAAAATATTTCACGAATTTCTAATAAATATTTGCTAATAAAGAAATATTACACTAGAAATAATCAATTAAATGCTTATATTACCATGAACTTAAGCCTGCAGATACTGGAAGAAGTTCACAACACTCCTGGATCTCTGAGTTCATGACAGTAAACTTGCATTTCTTTCATAATATTAACAGGATGCTTATGATAAATGCAGTGCAAATGGAGATGCTTCGTTCTCATCATGGGCTGTTGAAACTAAATTTATGTTGAGTATTGCTATGCCAGGTATATTGTATACCCCATAAATAAATGACTCATAATTAATTGATGTATGTATTATGTGTATATGTATATCTACATATGTGTGTGTATATATATTTAATATACATAATTTTTAAACATTAAAAGGTATTTTTACCCACTAGAGAGAGAGTTTTAATCTCTTAAGCCATAATTTTACGTCATGTATTATTAATTAAGAGCATGGTGCTGAAGTCAGATTGCTTTGGCAAAAAACATTTATTAGCTGTGTGACCTTGGGCAAGTTATTGAACCATTTTGTGTGGCAGTAACTTCCTCTCCAAGATGAGAACAATAATTGCACCTGCCCCATGGGGTGATTGCAGAGATTAAATGAGTTAAGGCATAGCACTATATAAAGTATGAAATAAATGTAAACTTTCATTATAATTACTGGTATGTGCAAGGCCCCATGCTAGGTGCTCTGAGAGATAAAAGTAAAAAGAGACACGGTCTCCACACTTACATAGTTTACTATCCAATTAGGAACACAAACTACAGTTCCACATAAAGTTAAATATTAATATCCAAGAAGAAAACACACAGTCCAGTTCAGCAGCACAGACGAAACTTTCAAATACAAAAGCCATGGGGAACTGGTGACTTACAGCAGAGGGGCATTTTTATAAAAAGTGTCGGTCTCACATTTATTTCCCTTCATCTGATGCTTATCTCTTTGACATGATGAAAAAAGGTTCAAGGCAGATTGTATAATAAACACATTGCAATGGCCCAGCCCTGTGTTAATCCTGCAGTGGTTTAGCCATTGGTGACTGCCACATGACGCAGATGCTGACGCTGGATTAAGACTCTTGACAACAGAGATGGGTTGATCTGTGAGTGTTCTAAGAAGTGGGCCAACCCATCAATGTCAAGTCTACAGAGGGTTGGCAAATGCATCAGCTGATTTTTTAAAATTTTTTCTGAGATTTATGGAGAGTTTCAGGCTGTGATTATCCAGCTTTAAAAGTAATTTTGTAAAATAACTGGTACAAAACAGGGTGTGCCCCACTGCCAAATGAATACTACAGTTAACAAGTGCTCTGTGAGATCAAGGACAAGGCTGCTTATTGTGGTCTGGGGTGATCACAGAAGGCCTTGGGAAGACATTATTATGAAAGGGCTTTCAATAAGAATTTATGATAATCCTTAAACTAATTAATGCCTTTTAAGTCAAATATTAATTCTCCCAACTTTATTTTTAAATTTGTCACTCTAAATTTTTACTTACAGACTGTCCCCGAATGGTGCTCTGTAACAAAATATTATTTTTTGGCTAAATTATGAGTTTAGTAGGTTTCCATGAGTTCATCTGAGAATACAGCATCCATAGCATTGCTTCTGTGGGAAAACAGGAGCTATTCTGAACTTCAGACAATCATTGACAAATCCATTTTTGAAAACTCTGCTGATTGGTTCTTTCTTTCAACAGGTATTTATTAAGTGCTCTTGATATGTCAGATACTGTTGCAGGCACCGAGGATACATCAGTGAACAAAACAAAAATCTCTTCCCTTATGGAGCTGACATTCTAGAGAGAAGAGAGAGTTAAGAAGCATAATAAATAATTGGTATGGTGTGTTGGAATAAAGAAAAAGTAGAGAAGGGTAAAAGGGATGGGGAGGGTGGCAATTCTAAATAGGATGGTCATTGAGAAGGTGACATTTAAACAAAGTGTGAAGGCAGCAGGCCAAGGCCACCGACCACATTAGGAAAGAGCATTTAAGGCAGAAGGAAGAGCCCGTGCGAAGGCTCTGATGCCGGAGTTTACCTAGTGAGTTTAAGAACAGCAAGACCGCTGTAGCTAGAGGTGGGAGAGAGGAGAGAGAAGATGAGGTCAGAGAGGTAACTCATGTAGTGGCAGGTAGGGGACTTGCCAGATCATACAGCGCCTTGCAGGCTATTCTAGAGCTTTTGAGAAAATGAGAGATCACTTGTATTAGGCTGGATTAAAATAGGGCCATCTGTATAAAAATAATTCCTCTTTAAATTGTCTCCTTAAACTTAGGGGTATATACAAATAACCCAGGATCTTGTTAAATTCAAATTCTGACTTAGTAGGTCCGGGAAAAGACCTGAGATTCTGCATCTTTAACAAGCTTTCAGGTTATATCAGGCTGCTGGTCCACAACCACACTTTGAGTAATGAGGTCCCAGGGGGTTTTTGGCTTATCTCTCCACCAGCTGGTTACAGGGCCTTTTTGTTCCCTTTGAGCCTGAAAAGACCACCTCAAAAGGTTTTTCTTTATATTTTTACATTAGCCATGCGTCCCCTCACTATTCATGCTCCTATTACCTCACTAGTAAGAACGTGGTCCAGAGCTGCCTCCGGGACTATGAGGGAGGTTGTCTGGCTGTTTCCATGCACAGTGTAAGAAGTTCCTAGGGCTTCTGCAGTGCCACGTGGAGGCTCTGCTTCTGAACCTCGATCTGCTCCCTGAATAATAATTTCACCTCTGACCACATTCTTGTCTTACTCCAATGACAGGAGCTCTAATACAGGTCTTCACTCCTGATCCTATACCTAGTGATAGGTACCTATACCTCAGTTCTGTAAACTGAGGCAGCTGGGGGACTTGGGTGATGTTCCCAGGCAGAAGAGGTGGTCAGGTGGTCCATGGAAGCCTGTCTGTTAAGGAGCAAGGCTGACTTCTTAAGAGCCAGCCCAGTAACTGACAGTGGAACAAATCTGGAAGGACTTGCCATTTCCTAATATAAAGCATAGGATACGGAGTCCCATGGGCTTGAGTTTGAATTGTGCTTCCATCCCTTACTGTGTAACCTGGGGAATGCGCCTGGGTGTCTCTGAGCTGCAGTTTTCTTATCTGGAAAATGGGAATGATACCAACACCTCCTTTGTAAATTGAGATAATGCATTTAAAGCACCTAGTAAAGTGCCTGGCACAAATGATACAAAATACTAGTTGCTATTATTTTTGTAATTTCTACTACCATCCCACTACCTAACAAATCGCTTTGACGCCCGGCATTAGAGCATCCACCTTTACGTTCTCTGGAGTTAAGGTACCAGAGCAAATCCCTCAGCAAAGGTGTTCAAAGAGACACACAGGCCCGAGCACTTTCTTCATGACAGATGTCACAAGAGATAACTGGAGGAGCTGAAGATGTTTAGTTTATTAAACAGGTGATGGGGGACAGGTGGTGATGGCTTTTAGCGTTGCCTTGTTCAGCGAGACCCTGAGGGCACGATGAGACCGCGGGGAAGAGATGAAAGGGCAGCATCCCCCGGGCGCACATCAGAGAAACTCGCTAAGACGGAAAGCGAGTCCGCGCGAGATGGGGGTGGGAGCGCCCGCGGGGGTCGTCTCCTGCGCAGCCGCAGCGGCGGCGCCAATCACGGGGCGCATCCCGTCCTCTCGCGACGGTACAGTTGTACGGTCGTGACGTCGGCGGTTGCCGTGGAGAGACCCGCTCGGTCCCGACCGTGAGCTGGCGTTAGGAGCCGCAGGGTCACAGCGTGGCTTTGAAGCCGCCTCTGCCGCCACCATGAGCGGCCGAAGTCGGGGTCGAAAGTCCTCCCGCGCGAAAAACCGGGGCAAAGGCCGCGCCAAAGCCCGAGTCCGCCCTGCTCCGGACGACGCCCCGCGCGACCCGGACCCTTCACAGTACCAGAGTCTCGGGGAAGACACCCAGGCGGCACAGGTGCAGGCTGGCGCGGGGTGGGGTGGCCTGGAAACCGCTGCGTCCGCGCAGCTCCTCCGGCTGGGGGATGAGGCCGCCTGCCGGCTCCCCCTGGACTGTGGCCTCGCGCTGCGGGCCCGAGCTGCGGGGGACCGCGGGCAGGCCGCGGCCAGGCCCGGCCCGGGAAAGGCCGCATCTCTCTCGGAGCGCCTGACCGGAGACACTGTCTTCGTGGGAACAGCGGGAACCGTGGGAAGGCCGAAAAATGCCCCCCGCGTTGGAAACCGGCGTGGCCCTGCTGGGAAGAAGGCCCCAGAAACCTGTAGCACCGCGGGGAGGGGGCCTCAGGTCATAGCTGGTGGCAGGCAGAAGAAAGGGTCGGCAGGGGAGAATACCTCGGTCTCAGCTGGGGAGGAAAAGAAGGATGAGAGGGATGCAGGGTCGGGGCCCCCAGCGACGGAAGGCAGCATGGATACGCTGGAGAACGTGCAGCTGAAGCTGGAGAACATGAACGCCCAGGCGGACAGGGCCTACCTTCGGCTCTCCAGGAAGTTTGGGCAGTTGCGACTGCAGCACTTGGAGCGCAGGAACCACCTCATCCAAAATATCCCGGGTTTCTGGGGGCAAGCATTTCAGAACCACCCCCAGCTAGCATCATTTCTGAACAGCCAAGAGAAAGAGGTACTGAGCTACTTAAACAGCTTGGAAGTGGAAGAGCTCGGCCTTGCCAGATTGGGCTACAAAATCAAGTTCTACTTCGATCGCAACCCATATTTCCAAAATAAGGTGCTCATCAAGGAATATGGCTGTGGTCCTTCTGGCCAGGTGGTGTCTCGTTCTACTCCAATCCAGTGGCTCCCAGGGCATGATCTCCAGTCCCTAAGCCAGGGAAACCCAGAAAACAACCGTAGCTTCTTTGGTTGGTTTTCAAACCACAGCTCCATTGAGTCTGACAAGATTGTGGAGATAATCAACGAAGAATTGTGGCCCAATCCCCTGCAGTTCTACCTTTTGAGTGAAGGGGCTCGTGTAGAGAAAGGAAAGGAAAAAGAAGGCAGGCAAGGTCCAGGAAAGCAGCCAGTGGAGACTACTCAGCCTGGGGTGAGCCAGTCCAACTGATCCTGCACAAGTCTCCCTGCTGCCTCCTGCTGGGCTGCTCCTGGTTGACTACATATTTGGCTCTCTGCCTTCTCTTCATGTTGGTCTCTGTGTACTATAGACCCTTTGGACTTTAGTTACAAGAATATGGCGTTTATGATCATGTTCTTTTGCCTCCCATAGCCTCTTGCTTTTCTACGTTAGTGTCACATGTTATGTGATCGCACCCGGACTGTTCATATGTTAAGCACACGTACTTTAGATGTGTGCTGCCTTTTATCTACATTGCCTGGACCTTGTTCTTGGCTCTGGCCTTTCCTACTTGTCTTTAACATGGACACTCATGAGTCATCCTCCAGGACGACCAGTGCATCCTCAAGCTCTGCTCCTTCAGGGCCGGTGACTTGCTGGGCTTCGTGTTCATGCTGGCCGTGCATGTCATCTATGCAAGCGTTTCCATTGCCACTGCAAAATGAAGCCAGTGCACATGGTATTAGTCATCACCTAGAACTTACTGTTCTGTGGGTCTGGGGTCATCAGCTAAGACGTCACCTACTTTATTTCTGGCTTTGGCCTGTGGTCCGTGAGACCCATCCTGCTTGATGTTCTGCAGAATGGCACTTAACTGCTGGGCATGCATGAAGTTAAGGGCAAGAAGCGGTATGCCATGTGTTCTGTACCATCATGTGTCTCTTCTTGCTTCTGGGCCCTTCTACTGGTGAACTTTAATCTCATCAGGATCTTCCCATGCCGTGTCACTATCAAGCCATTAAGTTTTGTCTGGGTTGCTGTCAGCCCCAGTTGGCTTCCTGGTCAACAAGGACCTCAAGAACTGCCTGTGGACTGAGGCCCCCTACCAGTGCATGAGACACACACCTACCCTCCCCAGCTTTCCAGGAACCCTACTGGCTGCCAGACTGATGGGCGGGCTGGTATGTGTGGACATGTGTTCACCGTCACTATGCTGTGGCTGCAGGTGAGGGTGAGGACTGGGCCTATATAGAATCCAGATACCGCTGTCAACTTCCCTTATTCCCTTCTAAGACATGAGCAGAGTGCTATAGTAGGGGTTCTGGGGAAGAGGTATTTCTGATTTGTGGGCCTCTGCTTGCTTGACTTCAGGTCACTCACACTTCTTTCTTCACTTGCCTGCCTTCCTCCATCCCTCATTTCCTCCCTCATTCTTCTTTCCTGCCTCCCTTTCCTGGTAGCCTCCTTTCCTCCCCTTGCACCTTCCCCTTCCTTTTTTCCTGATTCCTTTTTATTTTGTTTAAATAGTACCCCAGAGAAAACAACTGAAAAACCACATTTTTCTACATACAGCTAGGGAGATAGCTGAGAACTTGGCACTGCGCACATATACTAGATTGAAAGAGAGTTGAGGAAACCAGAAGGCCAGGTGGATCTGCTGGCAGACCCTGAACCTGTCTCCCGGGCTTGCTCTACAGTTCTGAAGTTGAAAAACCGTTTCATGCCTAGCGTCTGCTCGAGTGATAAACCCCAAGGCAGCCATATCATAGACTAGTGTTTACTCTTGTTTTGACTTTGTTTTAATACTCCCTAAGACTCAAGTGCCTCCTGCTGTTTCCTCCTTTGTGGTAGCCTCTGGCCATCTGGACCTCAACCCCCAGCTTTCCCACTTTCAGCAGTCCTTTGCTCTCTTTGCTTCTACCTCAAATAGCCCCAGGAGTGGGTTTTAGTCTCCAATATGGAGTATCTCAAGCTTCTCCTGGGGGATGGGGATGGGGATGGGCAGAATCTGTTTTGGATCTCCAGGTTATTTCCAGTGGGTGTAAAAGCGGAGCTGGGCCTTTCCCTCTCTTATCCCTGAGGGTGGGGAAGAAGGACTGTATCTACGCCCGTTCTTCCCTACCTTCTCTTTTGTTAGGGAAATCTCATTCTAAGTTCCTCAAGAGAGACCTTGACTTAAAGTTGTAGCAAGGGTGTGCTAGGCTGGGGATTTGGAGCAAAACCGTCGAGTAGGCATGATACTGGTATGGAGTGGGCCTGGCAAATCAGACAGAAATGGCTTGAAAAGCCACAGGGGGAGCATGCCTGTCTCTCAGTGATAGAGTATGGGAGGGACCTCCTTAGCTTGGAAAAGGAGAGTTGAAGAGGTTATGGACAAATAGGATGCCTAGTTGAGGGTGTTTCCAAGGTTTTGTCCAATCTTATCATCAGTAGATTTTATAAGCCACAGAGACAAACCAGGAACAGAATGATGTTACTTTGGTTACTTTCTTTTTTGTTCTAGGTGTGGCTTTGTACATGCAGAAGAGTGCTATATGCTGTATATTTTACCTTTAAAGTCTTTACCACTTTCCCCATTTTAGTCTAATGGGAAGACAGAGCTGTGTAAGTCTGCTTTTTTTTGTTAATTTTTTTTTTTTTTTTTTTTTTGCTCTTTGTTATGGACATTTTCAGACATGCATAGAAGTGGAGAGGATGGTCCTTGGACCCCATGTGTCCATCACCTAGCTGCATCATTTATCAGTTATGGTCAACCTGGTTTCATCTGTATCTGCCTCTTTTCATCTGTATTGTTTATTGAAAATCCAAGACACTAAGCCAATGCAACCGTGACTACTTTGGGAGATTGGTAGTCTCTTTTGATGGTGATAGTGATGGGGTGCACTATCATAATCACATCAGGTCTGCTTTTTGCTTTTAATGTTAACTAACGAAGTTCCAGAGATGGGTCTTAGAAATGTGTTTTAAGAATTAACAAGAAGTCTCAAAAAGAAATGAGAGGGATGCTTCTTTTCCCTTGCATCCACAAAACAGGAGAGAGAGACTGTTCTGTTGTAAAACTCTTTCAAAAATTCTGATATGATAAGGTACTTGAGACCCTTCAGCAGAATGTCAATCTTTTTTTTCTGTGTAACATGGAAACTTGTGTGACCGTTAGCATTGTTACCAGCTTGTACTGGTCTCATAACTCTGGTTTTGGAAGAATAATTTGGAAATTGTTGCTGTGTTCTGTGAAAATAACCTCCCCAAAAATAATTAGTAACTGGTTGTTGTACTTGGTAATTTGACACCCTGTTAATAATGCAATTATTTCTGTGTTCCTAAACAGTATAAATAGTTGTAAGTTTGCATGCGTGGTGGAAAAATAAAAACCTGTATCTCTGTTATATTTCTGATTTTCAAAAAAGAATTGGAAGGTTGTTAAACAGAGGCTGGGCAGTTGAAAGGGTATATACATTGCCCTAGGTAAGTGATTCCCAAGCCGCAGACCCTTGTGTGGCTAGCTACACAAAAACACATAAAATTTTGATTTCTAGGCCTTTTTCCCAAAGATTGAGATTCTATGATTCTGAGAGGAAGCCAGGTAGCTTAGTTTTTAACATGCGTTCTAGTTGATTCAGAAGCAGTGAACTCCCATTAGAATAATCTAGATTCTGTGAATCATCTAGATTCTAGTAGGAATACAGTGCTTCTTAAATTTTAGGGTGCATCTGAATTGTGTGGGGAGTCCTGTTAAAATATATATTCCGATAGAGTAGTTTGGGATGGAACCTGAGATTCTGCATTTCTAAGGAGCTTCCAGATGATGACAGTGCTGGTGATTTGTGAACTGTACTTTGAATTGAAAGGGGGGTGACCTTGAAGACCCTTTTAAACTTGAGTAATGGTGCTCAACTTTTGTTGCACACTAGAATTGTCTGGGAAGCTTACAGAAACACTGCCAGAGCTCCACACAGAGACCAACTAAATCAGAACGGGGTAAGAGGTAGGTCTGGGTGTAGATATTTTTATAACTTCCCAGGTGATTCTAGTGTTTAGCCAGAGTTGAGAACTGCATCCTCTGATGCTGTTCGTTTCAGATCCATAACAAGGATCATTTCCCATTAATCAGGAGAAGCAGTGGCAGACAACCAAGGGGCACACTAAGCTGCCCAGCAGAAAATGGACAAAATTAGAAGTGGGTTGTTACAAGAAAATAAAATGGGCTTATATGATGAAGGGTTTTAATAAACATGCAGTGTTCAGGGCATAGTAGGTGCTCCAGTGTTGAATGAATGAATGAATTTAAAGCACCGTTTATATTCAGATGCCTCAGGGCATTTGAATTTGGTAATTTGTAAAGTGGACCACATTTGTTTCATAAGAAAATCTGTATCAGTTTTCTGGGGCTGCCATAACAAAGTACCACAGACTGAGTAGCTTAAACAACAGAAATTTATTTTCTCAGTTCTGGAGGCTAGAAATTCAAGATCAGGGTATCAGCAGGGTTGGTTTCTTCTGAGGACCTCACTCAGCTTATATATAGCTTTCTTCTCTGTCTTCACATGGTCGTCTGTGTGTGTGTGTGTGTGTGTGTGTCCTAGTATCTTATAAGGATACTAGTCATCTTGAACTGGGGCCCCTCTAATGACCTCATTTAACTTTACCCTTTAAAGACCCTGTCTCTAAATTCAGCTACATTATAAAGTATTGGGGATTACAATTTCAACATACGAATTTGGTGTGAGGGCAGGGGCAATTTAACCCCTAACAACATCTTAACTTGTATTCTTTTGACACATACGTGCCTCACGTTATGGTAGTTAATTGTATTGAGGCATATCATGTGCCAGGCACTATTGCAGGTGTTATACAAGGATTAATATATTGAGTCTTTATGACAAGTGCTAATTATCTCTTAATGAGGGGATGGGTTGAGGAAATGGAGTAAAAAGAGGTTGAATAAATTGTTCAGGATCATGCTGGTAATTAATGAGCCAGGCTTTAAATTCAGGTAGTCTGGTTCAAGAATGCACACACATAGCACTTGAGTAGGAATAATCTTCAGTTTATCAATAGTATCTTTATGTAGAATCTCCTAATTTTGCATGTTAAACAAAATTTAAACCCCTGGAGTTTTTCTGATATGTGGAATGCAGAAGGGATGGAGAGCAGCCTCTCTAGGCCTGATCTTCCTCTCAGGATTCACTCAGTCTGCTTTGATTATGAATTGGGAGGGGCTGTCTGCCCAGTTCAATTCCGTTTACGCACTTGCTTCCCTGTGGGTGCAGAGCCTCTGTTGTCCAGGCCCTCTTTCAAACACCTCTCTTCAGTTCCTTGGACAACGCATTCAATCTGGGATTTACTACTTCTCCATCAGCTCATTCATTCATTGCCTCTTATATGAACCAATCCTTGGTGTAGACATTGGAAATATAGCTGTGGACAAATACAACTTTGAATTTTTCTTCCCCCACCTGCACCCCACCCCGCCACCCACCCACCATAGGTTTCAATCTCTTCTTAGCTTTCACCTTTTCACCGTCAAGAGATTGATAGTCAATCTCCTTTTTTCCATTTTCCTGCATGGGGCTGGTGAATGCTTTAGGTCCATGTGGGTTGAAGAGGGGGCTAAAGGAAGCTTCCCTCACCTTTGGCCTTTAGGTAAGACTTCACAAGGGACTCAGGCCTTCCATAACTTGGAGAGGGAGGGCCTCTTGGGTCATTCTAGTTATCTTAAGAGCCCTTGGACCCCTTTTAGCATTGACTTTTATTATAAAAAGGCCTCTTCTGATTTTTTAACTGTTACCTCCTGGGCTTTTTTTGAAATGTGGTAGGTTTGTGCTAGGCCATAGGTGAGCAGGGAGGGAAAAATAAAATGGTCCTGCCACCCTGAGCTTACCAAAGATCTCTACCAGCTTTGGACTGTCTATTTCTTCTTGCACTTTGGGCTTCTTTATTCTAGTCTACTATAGTGGTTTGCAACAGAGGAAAGAGACACACTGCCCTAGGGAGGCATGTTAGAACCACCTAGGGAGGGAAATTTGGCAAATTTGCTTGCCCCTCTGAAGATTCAGAGAAGTCCTTAGTCACGGGGAGCCACTGTAACTGATGAGTAGGGTCATATCCCTCAGGTGTTGGGACAATAAAAAAGTGAAGTGTAGGCTATCCTGTCCATGGTTTCTATCCTTATTTGCCCTTAGTGTCTTCACTTCTACTTTTGGAATCTTCTCCAACTATATTTCA